TAATGACTTTTCTGGATTTTATCGCACTGTTTCTGAATTTCTAGAATTCTTGCTTAAAAATTCCGAATTTCGGATGATCTCGTTCTTTCATTTTTATCTCTGCTGCCTGAGCACGTCGGAAGCTCCTCAGGAAGCCTTTGAAAACTACATGCTTTACGCTTTCAGACAAAATTTGAATTGCGCAAAATCGTTGTGATCGAAAGAAGCTATGATTTTTTGAAAATGGTGCGACAGAACTTTCGGTTCAACCTAATATATATATATATTAGGTTGGTTCATAATTAATGCACGTTTTAAATTTCAACCGCAATAAGTCACACACTTTTCATCCTTATATAGGCTTCAAAGTACCATTGCATAGAGCAAAGCAAGCTCTACAGGATGGCACTCATGTCTTTGCGCCATGCTCGATCCACGGAGAGTTCGAACTCAAAATCCAAAGATTTCCAAATGCCCAAAAAATCGAAAAAAATCAGATCTTCGTCCAAATAATTTCTACGGACCTCCCACTCGCTCACATCAATACTATCGATATCTGATATCCATATGTGCGATTGCCGTATTTTTTCCTTGACTAGAAACTGAGAAAACGAGAATTTCCCTGATTTTCTCAAAGCAATGCTGAGCCGTTTTTGCATATGTAGTTCTATACTACAAGCCTAGATAAGCATAACTGTAAGTTTTCAGCCCATTCCAAGCGGTAGTTTTCGAAAAACAACGAATTCGGATTTTTCCGTTTCGGTTTCAGTGCTAAAATCGACATTTCTCGAAAAGTACCGCTCGAAATAGGTTGAAAACCTACAGTTATGCTTACTTAGGCTTGTAGTATAGAACCACATATGCAAAAACGGCTCAGCATTGCTTTGAGAAAATCAGGGAAATTCTCGTTTTCTCAGTTTCTAGTCAAGGAAAAAATACGGCAATCGCACATATAGATATCGGATATCGATAGTATTGATGTGAGCGAGTGGGAGGTTTGTAGAAATTATATGGACGAAGATCTGATTTTTTTCGATTTTTTGGGCATTTGGAAATCTTTAGATTTTGAGTTCGAACTCTCGGTGGATCGTGCATGGCGCAAAGACATGAGTGCCATCTTGTAGAGCTTGCTTTGCTCTATCGAACAGTACCCCTGACCCTTTGTTGGGTTGAGCCTGGTTGCTTTGTTAAAGCAAGCAAATAAAAACGTGCATTAATTATGAGACAACCTAATATATATATATATATATATATATATATATATATATATATATATATATATATATATATATATATATATATATATATATATATATATATATATATATATATATATATATATATATATATATATATATATATATATATATATATATATTAGGTTGTCCCGAAAGTTCGTTCGCACTATTTTCAAAAAATCATAATTTTCTTCACTCACAATGATTTTGCGCAGCTCAAATTTTGTTAGAAAGCGTAAAGCATGTAGTTTCTAACAGTCCCCTGGCTGTTTTCCAGCATGTTCAGATTGCAGAGATAAAAATGAAAGAACGAGAACATCCGAAATTTGGAATTTTTGAGCAAAAATTCTAGAAATTGAGAAACTGTGCGATAAAATCCAAAAAAGCCATTATCCCAATTTTTCTTGCATTTGATTACTAACTGAGTCAAGTTTGTGCTGATCGAGGTCTTCTTTCAGAAGTTATGAATTTTTGAAAAAAAAATGCCAAAAAATCCATTTCTTAAGAATTCTTGGGAAATCGGTTTTTCGGCATTATTTTTCAAAAAATCATAACTTTTGAAAGAAGGGCTCGATCAGCACAAACTTGACTCAGATAGTAATCAAATGTAAGAAAAATTAGGATAAAGGCTTTTCTAGATTTTATCGCACTGTTTCTGAATTTCTAGAATTTTTGCTCAAAAATTCCGAATTTCGGATGTTCTCGTTCTTTCATTTTTATCTCTGCAATCTGAACATGCTGGAAAACAGCCAGGAGATTGTTAGAAACTACATGCTTTACGCTTTCTAACAAAATTTGAGCTGCGCAAAATCATTGTGAGTGAAGAAAGTTATGATTTTTTGAAAATAGTGCGAACGAACTTTCGGGACAACCTAATATATATATTAGGTTGGTCCGAAAGTTCTTGCGCATCGTTTTCAAAAAATCATAACTTCCTTGCCACTCGATGGATTTCGTTAAGATTATACCTGTTCGAAAGAGGAATCCATGCTCTTTATCGCTGTACCTTCGACATGAATTGTTTTGAGAAACTTCGAGAGTTACAAGCAATTGAAGGAAATCAGTCAAAATTGGCATTTTTCGAGCTGGGTCACGAAAAATTCTGGAAGTACTTTTATATGATAGAGAAAATTATGCTCATTACAATTGTACTTTTCTGATGAGTTAAAACGAAAAAGATCGAAAGTTAGGAGCAAATAAAGAGAACTTCTTCAGTTTTGTGATTTTTGAGCATGGTCAAAAAAGCCCAGAAACGTCACAGAAAAAACGAAAAAGTCATAAACGTGGGTTTTGTGACCTTCTCTTTCTAGCTGAGCGGAAATCGTGCTAATCGAGAGCAATTTTGATTTTCGTGAAAAATGCAGGCCCGAAAATCCGAAAAAATCACGAAAAACAAAATTGCTCTCGATTAGCTCGAAAGTTGCTCAGCTAGAATGAGAAGGTCACAAAACCCACGTTCATGGCTTTTTCGTATTTTCTGTGACGTTTCTGGGCTTTTTTGACCATGCTAAAAAATTACAAAACTGAAGGAATTCTCTTTATTTGCTCCTAACTTTCGATCTTTTTCGTTTCAAATCATCAGAAAAGTACCATTGTAATGAGCATAATTTTCTCTATCATATAAAAGTACTTCCAGAATTTTTCGTGACCCAGCTCGAAAAATGCCAATTTTGACTGATTTCCTTCAATTGCTTGTAACTCTCGAAGTTTCTCAAAGTAATTCATGTCGAAGGTACAGCGATAAAGAGCATGGATTCCTCTTTCGAACAGGTATAATCTTAACGAAATCCATCGAGTGGCAAGGAAGTTATGATTTTTTGAAAATGATGCGCAAGAACTTTCGGACCAACCTAATATATATTAGGTTGAATCGAAAGTTCTGTCGCACCATTTTCAAGAAATCATAACTTCTTTCGGTCACGACGATTTTGCACAGTTCAAATTTTTTCTGAAAGCGTAAAGCATGTAGTTTCTAAAAGCTCCCTGGGGAGTTTCCGATATGCTCAGGTGGCAGAGATAAAAGTAAAAGAACGAGATCATCCGAAATTCGGAATTTTTAAGCAAGAATTCTAGAAATTCAGAAACAGTGCGATAAAATCCAGAAAAGCCATTATCCTGATTTTTCTTACATTTGATTACTATCTGAGTCAAGTTTGTGCTGATCGAGCCCTTCTTTCAAAAGTTACGATTTTTTGAAAAATAATGCCAAAAAACCAATTTCCTAAGAATTCTTAAGAAATGGATTTTTTGGCATTTTTTTTCAAAAATTCATAACTTCTAAAAGAAGACCTCGATCAGCACAAACTTGACTCAGATAGTAATCAAATGTAAGAAAAATCAGGATAATGGCTTTTCTGGATTTTATCGCACCGTTTCTAAATTTTTAGAATTTTTGCTTAAAAATTCCGAGTTTCGGATGATTTCGTTCTTTCATTTTTATCTCTGCCACCTGAGCATGTCAGAAACTCCTCAGGGAGCATTTGGAAACTACATGCTTTTCGCTTTCAGACAAAATTTGAATTGCGCAAAATCGTCGAGAGGGAAGGAAGTTATGATTTTTTGAAAATGGTGCGACAGAACTTTCGGTTCAACCTAATATATATATATATATATATTAGGTTGAACCGAAAGTTCTGTCCCTCCATTTTCAAAAATTCGTAACTTCGCCAGATTTCAACGGATTTGCTTGCTCGTAATTTTATTAGAAAGAATAGATCTTCCGCTTTCAAGCCCTGTTTTGCGGAGCTTCTGTTTCACACTGAGTGCCGAGATAAAAATGGAAAACTAAAACCATGTAAACTTTGACCATTTTAAGTTAGGTCACCAAAAATCTGGAATGCTGCAGAAAAATCTGAAATCGTCAGTACATATGTTTTTTGGCCTACCCTTTGCATCAGTGAAAAGTTTGTGTTGTTTGGACATCTCTGTGAGAAGTTATGAATATCGAGTTTACTATGGATAACGCCAAAATTAATTAATTTGGCAATTTTCGTGAAAATCATAACTTCTCGCAGAAACGTCCAAACAGCGCAAACTCTTCACAATTGCAAAGAGTAGGCCAAAAAACATGTGTACTGACGATTTCAGATTTTTCTGCAGCATTCCAGATTTTTGGTGACCTAACTTAAAATGGTCAAACTTTACATGGTCTTAGTTTTCCATTTTTATCTCGGCACTCAGTGCGAAGCAGAAGCTCCGCAAAACAGGGCTTGAAAGCGGAAGATCTATTCTTTCTAATAAAATTACGAGCAAGCAAATCCGTTGAAATCTGGCGAAGTTACGAATTTTTGAAAATGGAGGGACAGAACTTTCGGTTCAACCTAATATATATATATATATATATATATATCCCTTGCTAAAAGGCGTAGCTAAGTTAGGTAGTTTCCCTTGTGAGATCTGATCCATGATTAGGGTGATGATATCGAAGATAAAATTATTAGTTTTCGATGAAGAGTAGAATTTGTCTCATCGAAAGGTCTTTTACTTCTTTTGAATCTGAGATGAGTTCTCGCGCCGTCTTCATTAGACACTCTAGCTTGATTTGTCCAAAAATTCCGTTACGAGACTGTTTCACGCTTGCTTGATTGTGTGGCTGACTCACTTGAACCCATTGCCCTTCCTAATTTTATTGTTTTTGGGGCGATTTGGAAAGTTTTACATCGCCGGTTACATAATGTCCTCCACCCGACCTTCCCCTTACAACGCAACAAGCAAAAAATCTCACACTGTGTTGTCTCCCTACTCTTTTACTTTCAACAATTATATGTACAGAAGGGATTTCAGTAACAAGCGAGCTAGCCGCGAACAGACATGACTGAAACTAAAGATGAACTCGTGCAAAAAGCTAAGCTAGCAGAGCAGGTTATAACTTTACTTCGTTTCTGAATGTCCACCTCAATTCCACCATCTCACGTTTTTCTGGGTTTAGGCTGAGCGGTACGACGATATGGCTCAGTCTATGAAGAAGGTCACGGAACTAGATGCGGAACTTTCGAACGAAGAACGCAACCTCCTCTCCGTTGCGTACAAAAATGTAGTTGGAGCTCGTCGTTCGAGCTGGAGGGTCATTTCTTCGATTGAGCAGAAGACAGAAGGCTCCGAGAAGAAACAACAAATGGCAAAGGAATATCGCGAGAAAATTGAGAAGGAGTTACGGGATATCTGTCAGGATGTCCTTGTGGGTCATCACATTGAAATATTGTTGCATTTCGTACTAGTAAGAGAAGAACATATGTTTAGAACCTCCTGGACAAATATCTTATACCCAAAGCTGGTAATCCCGAGTCGAAGGTTTTTTATCTGAAGATGAAGGGTGACTACTACAGATACTTAGCTGAAGTTGCTTCCGGAGAAAACAGGAGCTGTGAGTATTTCACACATGTCAGCAGTGTAAATCGCAAAAACGCATCTCTGTCATCGGTAGATGCATCTTGAATAGTATTTATACTCTGTTTGCTACTTGTGGAATTATATCCTAAAAGGTTGTGGATGTTCTTTTCGAGATCTGCATGGTTTGAGATGTTCTACAGGGCTTATTAATTGAAGTGTCGGGTGCACCAGCATCTCCACTCCCGCGCTGAACTCTGCGTCTCCTCCCATGCTCTCTAATCACTTCCGATCGATTGAGGCTCCGCCTTTCCCACGCCCGCCCTAGGTAAGTGCTCAGAGAGCATTGTCCGCAGAAGAGGTTTAGAGTCCCGCGCGGGAGCGGAGATGCTGGTGCACCTGACACTGCAGTTGATAAGACTTGTACATAGACCTTTCACACCAAAATTTCAAAAAGTGGCGATGAATTGTTTTTGTTTCGATAAGTCTATATTTTTCTGCAAAGTGTGCGATATTATTAGGTTGTAAAGGAAGTTTCCGGGCACTTGTGAATTTTTTTTTGAATCGCTGTAACATCGAGCAGATTGATCCTTTTTCAGAGCTACAATTTTCATTGCAAAGAGAATCTCGTTTGCAACATATACTTGTCCTGCTGGCTTTTCAGCACTTCATAGCGGTCCACTAGCATGCGCAGAAGGGAGGAAGGTCGACGCGAAATGTGGCCTATTTGTGCAGGATTATCTCAGGCAGGATAACAGCTGGAGACCCCAGATGCTGTAGTTATATGAAAGTCCGCTGGGGCTGTAGGGGGACCATTCATGTCTTTGAAGGACCACTTGCAAACAATTTCTTTCCCAAACGTTCGAAAAATCGACCATTTTTGCCCTCAAAAATGCACCATTTTTTGCATTAGTCACTTTGAGGTCTTCTCGTTCTGCACAGGGCTGACCAAATTTTTGATTACTGCGAACATTGTTTGGATAATACCTTGCACATCTTTTGGACCCACCACCCAGGCGCAGCGATCCCTGCAGGAGCGACGCCGGTCGCGAGAAGAGTTGCAGTCAGAGGCAAGTTCGACAGCTTGTAATTTCTGAGCGCAAATCGCAAAACTCGACTGCAGCTGCGGGTCAGAAGTTAACAGGCTTCTCAATCGAATCACCCATGATTTGGACGAAATTCTTTGTACTGCATAGAAAAATGGACGTAGGAAGAAAAATTGTGAAATTTTCATAGTTGGAAGGATTTTTCTTTTTGATGTGCAGATCAAACACCTCTTGGCATCGACAAAAATCAGAAGTCGTATTGAAAACATTAGGCTACACTCTACTGAACAGTATAAAATACTTGGTGTCAAAGTCCGACCGAGCATCGATAAAATGCGTTTGAAAATGAAATTTCCATAAGTACCCGGGAATTTTCTTTACAACCTAATACCTCTGTTTATATGTATACGCTGAACTTGCCCAAAACTTAGAACGAATTCGCCGAGCAGGTACCTTCTGATGAGCACATGTATTATATGTTTACAAATCCCCGCAAGGAAGTGAGACAGTCAGAGAGCGGTTAGTTGAGGGTAATGTCTTTGCAAATTGGCGGCTCCAATACTTATCGCTTTTGAGCATTATGCTATACTAGCATTATATTGTGTTGTCCCAAAAGTAAACTCCTTTTTAGATAATTTAAGCTGTTTTTGTTTCCCCAGTGAACTTAGGGCATCATTCGATAGAGCAGATCAAGCTCTACAAAATGGCCTCCAAAGGTCCGCCTAGGTAGCCTTCCATGTAAAGTTTGAAGCCAAAATCGAAAAAAATATTGTCACCCGAAAATTGGAGTTTTGCGAAGAAGAAACCTACGGACCTCCAACTTGGTCGATATACAGTACCCACATATTTGTACTCAAATATGCCTTTACTTGATTTTTTCCCCGCATAGAAAGCGAGAAAAATGAGATAGTCCAAAAATGGCAAACTTCGCCCCCAGCCCATCTCACACATGCCATTGTATACTACAAGCCTTAATAAGTATAAACTCAAAATTTCACCTTTGCATGTGCTCTTATAATCAAGAGATACCAAGTTTTACATAAAAAAAACCGAAAAAAGTGGCATTTTGGCATTTCGGGACCACCTTTGTTTCTCAATTTTGAGCCCCTGAAAAATCCATCAAACACATTTTTGGATACTACTATATGTCTACCATATAAATTCTGGAAGGAGATCCGATTTTTAGGGTAGCTGAAAAATTTTGATTTTTGGGAGCTTGCTCCGCTCCACCGAATGAGATCCTAATTCTGTCAAAAAAAAAAAAAAACAAAAACAAAAACAGCTCAAGTTATTTCAAAATGGAGTTTACTTTTGGAACAACCTAATACTTGTCGCTTTTGAGCATTCTGAAAGTGATTCATGAAGAGCTCGGTCACGTCGCATTTGATGTGCAGGGGCATATTGCAGGGGCATATTTTGACATCCATACACCTTGGTTATAATATGGCAGAGAGAAATGGTCAGCGAGATTAAGTTGCTTGTCTAAGTATAATACTCAAATACAGAGCGCCCCAAAAATGTCCCTACTGACGTCAGCTAAGCAGCAGCAGCCGTTTTTCGATCAAAAAATGAGGTTACACCGTTTAGAAAGCTTCACAATCTTGTACAAACTTGAGTATTGAACTCACCGTCCATGAAAAACCTATTTACACAATTTTCCAGATTTTTTTTATTGAAATTACTTAAAATGGCAGCTTTTTCGCAAAGACACCATATGTCGAAAATTTTGGAAATGAAGAGCGGTCGATGATTCGCTCCAGACTGTAGATCTAATTTGAAGTCAGATCTACAGAATGATACCTAAAGCTTCCCGAAAACCTTCATGGCAAGAGATTTATCAACAATCAATAGTGGGCACATATTTTGTGACATTTTATATAACTCGGGAAAAGCTTCATAAGTTCTGGTTACTACCACTCAGCGTACAAATAAATCCTGGATGGAGTGAAGAACAAATTGCTATCAACTTAGCGTTTTGACTGATTATAATAGTAGGAGCAGAGTATAAAGCATATGAAGTATGGCATAATACCTGCGGCCGTTTTGCCTATTTAAAAAATCCACCGATGTTGGGATTACACAAACGAAATCTGTGCTGAGTGTCTGAAGAGGATTGAGAACATAGTCGTGAGGATCTAGAAGTTCCAAATCTCAGCTCCGAAATTCACGCCTCAAACAGTTTCTTACAGTCGACCTCTGTAGTGTAAGATTACATCATTTTTAGTTACAGTGGAGTATACATCATATTCAAATACGATTGACTACATTCTGGAAATAACATATTAAAAAACAAGATTGAAGTCAGTTTTTTTTTCACTCACAAGGGGATGGTCAGAAATCCAAGTGGCCAACCCAGACAAGCTGCACACCATGAGATGCAGCATGAAGCGATGACTCTAAATCTGTCTTCCTTACCTGCTTATCGCTTTTCTGGACAAAGCTATAAGCCATTAAAGACTATTATTTTGCTAAGAAATTATGCGTGAAATTGAAAATTTAGCCGTACAGAGCCACATTCGCCTTAATGCTGGGCCAAAACATGCAGCTAGCTTACTTCAAATTTTTAAAGCCAGAAGCTGAGCTAAAAGTGCAACAATGTGCTCAATTTCGCTGTTTTTATATATGATTTTTTCACAATAAAACCGCTTGTAGCTTCGTCCACAGAAGCGATAAGCAGATAAGGGAGACAGATTCGAAGTCAGCGTTTTATACTGCATCGAACGATATACAGCTTGTTTAGTTTGGCCACTTCGACTTCTGACCATTCCCCTGTCAGGAATATCAGCTCCGCCTCATTCTAAAAACCTGAGTCTTCCTTGAATCTAAGGTGTCAATGTGAAGCAGCGTGGCGCGCCACGCTCTCCGAAATATTCTTGGGATGCCTTCCTTTTCAGTGGGTATATAACGTCTTAGAAATTTTGAAAGCTAATTCGAAATTTTGAAGGATTCTAAATATTATTCACCAGTGCGTCACCTCTGCTTCGCAGAGGTTCGCACTGGCTCTACTATCTATGTGCCTTACTCATTCTCGTAAAATCGTGGCACTGGAACTCACCGCGCTATGCCGACTACCACGAATAAAATGTAAACAACCACTCATTTAGAAGGTCTTTTCACGTGAGATCGGTGATTTCGCGCGGATGGAACTTTTCGCAGGAAGACAAACGCAAATTTGAATAGGTTTTTGGATTTGTCATGACTTGGTAGTTGCCATAGAGGTAATGATAACCGTGAGCTACATCTCTGTGCGAAAATCTTCTCAAACGCTTAGCTGGAACCTTGGCAAATTACCATTTACACAACCAATTCGTTTTGGCGCCGTTTTCGTTATGTAGTAAACTTTCGACCACTTTTCTGGCTAAACTCCATCGCTTGCACATTTGCTTACCAAACTCATCCACGACTCTGCAAAAAGATTCTGCGGGACAGAAGCCAGGTGGACCCGTTTGGCGCGCAATTTCTGAGGGATCCACTCAACGTATCTACTCGCGCTTTTCAAAATTTGGGCTTAGAACGCTGGCTGGAACACGCTCCACGAATTTCGTCACACACACACACACACACACACACACACACACACACACACACACACACACACACACACACACACACACACACACACACACACACACACACACACACACACACACACACACACACACACACACACACACACACACACACACACACACACACACACACACACACACACACACACACACACACACACACACACACACACACACACACACACACACACACACACACACACACACACACACACACACACACACACACACACACACACACACACACACACACACACACACACACACACACACACACACACACACACACACACACACACACACACACACACACACACACACACACACACACACACACACACACACACACACACACACACACACACACACCAGTCACGTAAACATCCTTAGCTCGTTATTACAAGTCATGATATTGTTTCAAGTGAAAACAAGCTCCTTGCTTCATACATTTGTAGGATTTCTCAAAATTCCACCACTGCTTTTTAACATCAGTGTTTCCTTCCATGACTACTCAAAAATACGGGTGAGATCTTCTACAGCTACTATTGATTCTACGCGTTCATAGTTGCCAGATAATTTGTAACTCAATCGACAAAGCTTCCTCTGTGAGAAAGTCAGTGGAATCTCGCACAAGACCATGAGAGTTGTGGAGCCGCTACTTTTATGGCCATGCAAACCTCACTGAGTTAACTCCATATAATTCAAAGGACCCTATCTCATGTCAGCTGAGCTGGTATGAGCTCTCTCTCTCTCTTGCTGCTCGGATTTCGTATATCACGCTTCTACAAGCTCCTTCTCCTCGACTTTTATGCGACTCTTACAAGTTTAGGATACCAACTTGAGTTGGCGGCTGAAGACGAAACGTATATCACTATACGTCTTCGAATGTTGATTCCATGTCTGCTTTCCTTTTTTGCGGAACAACTCTCCCATAGACATTTGGTGGTCCGAATTTGCTCAGCTTTGAGCGGCATATAGCGAAAAGTTCTACAAAACCACCTATGCGATTTTTCACGGCTGCGTTTTCCTTGTAGTCATACACTTGATACGAAATTGACTATCCACTTTCATATGTTTCTGTAGGGGGGCGGAAGTTTCTCACCCGAGCCATATTCTCGCACCTAAGTGATGTGCCTGCCAGGCACATTCGGACTAGCTATAATTATGAGCTCCTCAGGATCCAAGACACTGCAAGCCCCGCCCCTTTATCGAGTGTCGCTTCAGATGCTGAAACCGCAATTTTAAAGAAGGTTTCAAAATTGAAGTTCAGTAGCGAAAGTGCTCTAATCAAGATCAAATTTCGGACTTAGGGGTTTCCGAGGTTGCTCTTTTCAGAAGCGAGATTTGTTTGTTGCTAAGTTAAGGTTCAACACCGATAATGCCCAAACCGAAATCATTCGGATTTAGCCGAAATTTCTTTAACTCAAAATCAAAATTCAGATTTACGGTTTCCTGAAAAATTATGGAACTATTGAAAATAATATCCGTAGCACTAGTTTGAGATTTGGTTGTTTTCAAATATTGAGGTGTTTTCCTCTATTGTTTGAAATCATTTCGAGCTTTCTAGGTCTACTATGAACTTCTCTGGCATTGAGACAGCCTTGATGACCAGTAAGCCTAAACATCAAGTCTTGCTCTGAGGAAGAAAAGTTCGAAAACATTCAAATCGAATTTTGCGGTTGAACATTATCGGTGCTGAACTTCGATTTTGCAACAAACGAATGTCACCACTGAAAAGAGCGACCTCTCGAAAACCCCTGAATCCGAAATTTGTTCTTAACTGGAGTAATTTCGCTAGTGAACTTCGATTTTGAAACTTTCTTTGAAATTCCCGTTTCAGCATCTGAAGCGACGCTTGATAAAGGGGCGGGGCTTGCAGTGTCTTAACTCCTGAGGAGCTCGTAATTAGAGACTAGTCCGAATGTACCTGGCAGGCACATTACTTAGGTGCGAAAATATGGCTCGGGTGAGAAACTTCCCGCTCCCGTTTCTGTACAGCTGGTCGCTAATTGTGTGTGTGTGTGTGTGTGTGTGTGTGTGTGTGTGTGTGTGTGTGTGTGTGTGTGTGTGTGTGTGTGTGTGTGTGTGTGTGTGTGTGTGTGTGTGTGTGTGTGTGTGTGTGTGTGTGTGTGTGTGTGTGGTGTGTGTGTGTGGTGTGTGTGTGTGGTGTGTGTGTGGTGTGTGTGTGTGTGTGTGTGTGTGTGTGTGTGTGTGTGTGTGTGTGTGTGTGTGTGTGTGTGTGTGTGTGTGTGTGTGTGTGTGTGTGTGTGTGTGTGTGTGTGTGTGTGTGTGTGTGTGTGTGTGTGTGTGTGTGTGTGTGTGTGTGTGTGTGTGTGTGTGTGTGTGTGTGTGTGAAGGAACGGATACGTCCAATGGGCGTTGCTTCCATGGACTGCTGATCCTTGCACGTTATGCACTGGCATGCGCAAAAGACCATTGGTCCCAGCGGTGCCTAATAAAGGTATTCGCTCTTCTACCCATTTTATGCCACTTGAAGCTTGACAAATCAAACTCTCGATCGCTCACTACTTCTTTCAGAGAGTTGTTCCGCGGAAAAGGAAGACAGATTTAAATTTTGAGGACGCGTCTTGTGGTATACCCTTGATTCAACGAGATTGGCGGCTGGAAGATGACCGCTCGCGCTCTTGACGCACTCTGCGTCTCTCTCGCAAAAGTGTTCTCTAATCATGTTCTTAACTAGGTCACGAAGCCTCGCCTTCCAGCCGCCAATCCAGTCGAGTCAAAGCGTCTCGTTTTTGATCGCCGACTCACTTAGTCTCCTTCACTTCTTAGGCCTTTTTGTTGCGCTGAATCCAAATAAATGCTGTACATGTGGAAAGGTGGAAAGGCATTTCCGCAGTTTTTAGCAAAACTTCGAGGGAAGGGTTAGGGGGTGTGTGAGGACCGATAGTCGCCGGCAGTACCACCTCATGGCGACATTCGCTCATCTGCCCGGACGAGAATTCAGTTGAGAAGTAGAAAGGTTCTGACACAAATACCTTGCTTCCAGTATTATTAGTTAACTCAGAGAATGCGCGAAATGTGGTTTTGGTTAGACATACTGGGTAAGTGAAGGCTACGGCACGTGCAACCAAAGTTTGCGGCAAAACAGACAGGTGTAGCGACTCGGTAGGCTCATGGCACCTAGATGTAACCGGAGGCCTGATGCTCGCCCGATACTAAGTGACGAACCTATGCTACTGCGCACCTAACGCGCGACTAAAGGAACATGAGATGGATTAGTGGTTTATCCTTATGACAACAACCTAGCCTCAAAATAGACATAAAAAACACTAAACTAAAAACAGATTACTACTACTACTGAATAAAACATGAGACGAGGGCCCGTCCCAGGCTACCGATGCGCATCTGTGGAAATAATCTAAAATACATGTGGCTCGCGAGGTTTCGCGCAACAAATCCACCGCGCAACGCCAAGGTTGTAAACGACGGTACGTCCCATCCTGTAGATGACTTCCAACTTGACATGCAATTCCGATAAGTACTACAGTGCCTCGAAATGCGCTAACGAAAAGAATCCGTTGCCCCAATCCAAAGAACATCCGGCTCAACTGCTCTTACAAAAAAAGGACGCGAGCATAGCGACAGAAACAATATACGAACAAGAAATGAAGTCAATCTATAAAGGGCAAGACGAACAAGCCCTAAACTGAGGCGCGACCGCCCTTGTAGCCGCCGAGCTGGCAACGAGCCAGCAAAGGAGAGGTCCGGAGACGATTGCGGTGACACGCGTCGTAATCGCCGGATAGCGCGGTAACCGATGCTCCCGGCCTCCTGTATCGAGGAGCGCCTTGGCGAGACGCGACAGCAGGTTTCCCTGCGGTTAGTTCACAGAAAATGATGCGAATTGGTCAGTAGGCCTCCATGGTAATTCTTCCACCCCATCACAATCAGACTGAACTAACTGATTTTGCCGGGATCTATACCAAAGGATGTGCTCTTGCGTATATCATGTGGACTAAAATGCATGTGGACCCAGTCCAGCGCATTCCTAGTTCCGATGTACCGGAATGGTTGCCGGGCACGTCGCAACCGCATGTATCATCAATGTCGTTTTCTTATTTGCAAAGTTATTCGATCATTCTTCTCTACTCTCGTATGTCGCTGTTTTATCTGTATCGTTTTCCGCTGCCCTCAGCATAACATAGAGTGTGAAAAAGCTTACATACGGATGTTGCATGGAAGTAAATCTCTCTCACACCTCTTCACAGGTCAGGTTGCATCAAAGAGCACCAAAAGGGTAGAGGAAGGCATATTCAGTTGTCGTGTGCCATTTATACTTTAACCTGGCTTAAAATATGCTCGATATAGCTTTTCCCACTCATATGCAGAGAAATATCCAATCTCACTTGTATTGGGGAACAGCTGGTACTGACACAGCAGAAGTGCCTCGTTTTCTTGAGTCCAAATATTTGATGCAGAACTGGATATCGAAATGAGAAGATGCCATCGGATTTGAGCAGCGATGTTCATTATGACATTCTATCCCCATAAACTTTCAAAACTTCTAAAGATTTTTTTGTGTAAGAAGACAGTGATAATCTTGGTGACCATTTTCCCAGATCCATTTGCTCGTCCTGGAGTTTAAGGCAGTGGCTCGGGGAATTTGCGACTGCGAGCCTTTCACACCTATATGGCCTTCTGGATCCGATGAGTCCGCGACTATGCTCAGAATGCAAAAAAAACCCTTTTCTGGCGTTTCCCGGCCATGGACCAACTGACCCATTTTGGCGGCAATTGGCTGATCGGCTCAGGCAGTCAATCGCGACTACTCAGTTGGCGATCGCTCGCCCATCCCCTCCAACATCCAAGACCGGAAAACGCCATGAAGCACTTGTAGACTCTTCAAGCACAGTCCTAGACTCAGCGCATCCAGAAGGCCAAGAAGGGGTGGAAAGCTCGCAATTGCAATTTTTCCGAGCCATTGTCTTCAAAGTCATCATGGCACTGTTTTTGAGGAGAAAAGCATCAGAATTGGTCTGTGATGCACGTATTTTTGGTTCTACTAGTGAACCAGTAATTAAAGGTGCTGACTTGCATTTGCGCACCGCGACCGTACCGCGGTTTCCCGCTTTCTGATGGTTTTTGAAATGGCGTTAAGATTCTTTATATATTAGATTGCAACAATTACAGCGGTTGTCGACAAGTCACAACAGTCGTATCAAGAGGCGTTTGACATTGCCAAGGACAAGATGCAGCCTACCCATCCCATTCGTCTTGGCCTTGCCCTTAACTTCTCGGTGTTCTACTACGAGATCTTGAATGCGCCCGATAAGGCTTGCCAGTTGGCGAAGCAGGTGATATTTGCCACTATATGCATACAGTATTTAGTTCCCAGTGGCGGACCGAGGCCCCCCCCCCTCGAGAATGGGTCGCGAGATTTTTGGAATTTACTTACATCTTATATATAAAGCTGAATGTCTGTTTGTCTGTCTGTCTGCATGTCTGTATGTCTGTCTGTCTGTCTGTCTGTACGTATGTTCCGAATAGAAAATTCCATTTCTGAACCGATCCGGACCAAACTTGGCACACATACACTACGGGTCCCGGTGGGTGTCATAGGCTACTTTTCGTCATCGATCGATATCGATTTTATCGATTTTTATCGATTTTTTGCTGAGTTCACCTACGGGGCTGGGAGTTGGCGCAGGGGGGTAATCGAGCATGGGGATTCCGAATACAATATTGGTTTTCAGGATTATCGATTACTTTTATCGATTTTTTTGCAAAGTTTGAGCTAGGGGGCTGGGAGTTGGCACAGGGGGGTAATCGAGCATGGGGATTCCGAATACAATATTGGTTTTCAGGATTATCGATTACTCTTATCGATTTTATCGATTTTTTTGCAAAGTTTGAGCTAGGGGGCTGGGAGTTGGCACAGGGGGGTAATCGAGCATGCTATGATTCCAGATTCGCCAAATTCCAGCCCCCTAGCTCAAATTTTCAAAAAATCGATAAAATCGATAAAAGTAATGGACGATCTTGAAAACTAATATTGTATTCGTAATCTGCATGCTCGATTACCCCCCTGTGCCAAATCCCAGCCCCGTAGCTCAAACTTTGCAAAAAATCGATAAAATCGATAAAATAATGGACGATCCTGAAAACTAATATTGTGTTCGTAATCAGCATGCTCGATTACCCCCCTGTGCAAAATCCCAGCCTCGCGTGTCAAAATTTACAAAAAATCGATAAAATCAATAAAAGTAATCGATAATTCTGAAAACTAATATTGTATTCGGAATCCCCATGCTCACTTCCCCCCCCCCTGTGCCAACTCCTAGCCCTGTAGGTGAACTCTGCAAAAAAATCGATAAAAATCGGTAAAATCGACCGATCGATAACGAAAAGTGGACTGTGACACCCGCCGGGGCCCGAAGTGTATGTGTGCCAAGTTTGGTCCGGATACGGCGGAGCCGGGTAAGCCAGCTAGTGGGTTATAAAAATGTGCAAGTGACATGTTTATTCTCTTAAATATTTGAAATAATTTTTGAAATCAGAAATTTAACGCTCCTTTTTTGCAAGATTTTAACGGTTATGGACCCGCAAACATTTCGAGAAGCACCCCGAAAATTTTTCCGGAGTACGTGGCTAACGCCACGCACCTTCATTTGAAAAAATTTTTTTGCCCCCACCCCCGGTCCGAAATCCTGGGACTGCCACCGTTACTTCTTTAAATGTAACATTTGAGGCGTTTGATGATGCCATCGCTGAGCTTGACACCTTGAATGAGGACTCGTACAAGGACTCCACACTTATCATGCAGCTGTTAAGAGACAATCTCACCTTGTGGACGTCCGATGCTGCTGCCGAGGATCCAGAGACAGGAGAGCATGGAGAAGGCCATAATTAATTTGCAGGAAGCAGTCTACTATATGAACTCATCTTAGCTGCTCTGTGTATTTTAGATGACCGCGATAATCAGTTTCTTCATGGTTACAAAAATTCTTGCGTCCATTCACTCTCTACATACATGAAATGTCAAAGGCTAGATTGGCTTACTCTTGCCTCTGAATCGTTTAGCCTCACAGCCTCTCTTTATGTTAATGCAGTCAGAAGCTACAGCTTATTTTTCCTGGCTTTTGAGTTGAGCTAAGAAAGTCTACTCCAGTAGAAAAATGATTCCAGCATCTAGATCAATCAAGTAGCGGCATGCTTTATTTACATAGTTTGTTATGAATTATGCCAAATAAATTACAAACTCTGACACAAGACTAGTCAAAGAACACACTTCGCTTGGTCCTCACGCACTCTCCTCCTGCAGACATTTGGTCCCTTCCGCAATTTTTATGAATTTTGCGATATGGACCATGTGCTATCGTTCTTGATGCGAATCACTGAAGAATTTATGGACTTTTTCCCATGTTAATTGCACGAGATCTAGGCAGTCAGAATCCTCAGTATCCAGATTTTTCAGACTCTGATTCATTAAAGACAGTTTTTCTGAGCTTAACGTAAAGCTTTATCCTGTTTGGACGCTTTTTTATAGTGCGTAAGTGAACATTCTAACGACTTTGATGAATTCTGCATCATTCGAGTGCAAGTTTTGGTGGCAATCAATGTTTATAACTTCTTTCGGAAGAGCGCGCAGCAGATGACGAAAGCAGATTTGGAATCAGCGCTTCAAGGTGCATTCAGTGGTATACGTTTCATTTTAAAAGGCCAGGTTACCAAGTATCCTTCCCTTGTAAGAAGGATCTCCAACTGGAGTTACTCGCAACTCGGCGTTGATTCTGTCCATCCACCGCAACCTGATTCTTTTACCTGCTGCTTTCACTGTTACGGTTATCCTTGTAATGTGGCTTTTCTTTTTGCGTGTAAGTACGCATTTGAGTCGACTTAACGTTCATTTGCTTGATTTTAGGATATTGACTGTGTGGTGCCAGAGGTAAGTTTCTCCGCCTTCCTTTTCGTTCTCTATATTTTCGCAAGTTGAGCATAAGTAGTGCACTTGATTACGAATTAAATAGCTGATTTGATAGGATTGCCGTTGTTCATAACTTATGTTTAGCGAGATCGAAAGCCACCCGCAATTTCCCAAGTTAGGTTATGAATGGTATTTGAACAATTATTCCATATAAGCAAGTTACTTAAGCTAAGATTCCCCATCCTCTTTCTAGATTATCTTCTCTTTGAGCTCTTGGAGTAACAATTGACGCTCGTACCGAAATATCTGTTGTCGAACTTGAGACCATCGAAACATCTTTTCTTCCTAGTAACTAGCTTTCTGCTCCTCATTATGCGTTCACTAGCTGGAGCAACTGCTCCGCCCGGTCCCCGTCAACACTCTTATGGTAAAGAGCGCCAGTACTAGAAGCTAGTGGCGCATACATGGACAGGGGCGGGGAATGTTGCAGGAACTGTGTGCAGTAACACATACGACATGTGTTTTACTACACATAGTCTTGTCTTTGCCCTCTTCATCCTCGATTTTCGGATCAAAACCCCTAAAACGAATATTTTCGGTGATTTATTTATGTCTTTTGTTCAGATAGAAATCCTCTTAATGTCATGTAAGCGCAACAACCGGGTCCCTCTCCTGCGTTTTAGTAACCAGAAATCCAGATCCAGGACGGGACGGCAAAGCGCACAGTGCATGCAGTGATACAATGATCGTATGAAATGACTGTGTAAAGAAATCATATCATCTTCAATAAACCCTGCTCGCAAGTCGAGGTTTAGCGTACATAATTTCCATATTCTATCTGTCCTATAGAAGACTTGCGGAGCATTGTCATAACAGATTTTCAGAGCAACTCTAGAGATAATCATTGAATTTGAAAAAGATAGGCTCAGTAGGCGATCGCCATTGAACCCTCAAAGGATCGTAAAAAAAGATAAATCAGCTAATGTATCGATGTACTTTGATCCTGTTTGCTGAAGTAATAGCGCAGTGAGCCTTCAAAGGATGAGTAAAAACTCAGGAATATCAAATTTTAAAACAGGTTATATAAGGCGTATTCTCAATGCTCCCCTATTTCCCAGCGTTCAAGATAGCGTAGTAGATTTTCTGGCCATAGCGTGCTTGCGATGCCGAGAATGCGCTAAAACCAGGGCCCGGCACGAGGTCGGCAAAAGGGGTTTTCGAAAACGAATTCCCCTTTGACCCAGAAACGGGATGGCTGTGCTTGCGCAGTACACACTATATCAGAAAAACATTTATTAGAAGAAAAACACCCATTTACGCTCACGCGCTAGCACTGATCTCTAGATACTGGGCGATTTGTGCGTTGTATGGCATACAGTCTGCCCCAATCGGGATCAGGCCGAACCGTCGGCTGAATTTGCGCGCTCGCAGCGCTAGCGGTTTGCGCTGCATATGCGCGCCGTCGCAGAGAGCGAAGAGATTGATGAGAGAGCAGACTAGCTAGACGCAGAAGTGGCGCGAAACCCTCGCGACGCGCACTCCCGCCAAGCCAATTTTGGTCTGGTTAGGATTGGGGCAGACTGTACAATGGGCTTCATCGTTGTGAACCTGAGCATTGAATAATAATGAAACACTACAAGTCAATTGTGTGAATTCTCAGCGATTCAACAAGCGGATTTCTCTCTTGAATACTGAGCATTGAATAATAATGAAACACTACAAGACAATTGTGTGAATTCTCACCGATCCAACAAGTGGATTTCTCTCTTGAATATGAGTTGGAGCATGTAATGGTGGTGCAACGCTTGCCACCCACGACATATGATGGCATCAGAACGGTTGAGATTACATTTGACAAAAAGCTGAAATGGCAAACATGACATGAACACTAATCAGGGAGTAACGCACTTACATTTGCTATGCTTCGTATCAAGTTTTTCCACCAGTCGTGTCAGTTGTCGACTGAAATCTGCTACAACAACGTTTCCATTGTGGTCGCGTTCGAGCAGGCTAACCAAACAGATGACGAAGTCGTGGAGTGTTATGTAGTTGACAAACTGATTTGCAAAACTCCTGCCATGCCTGAACGCCGACAATCAAGATCGATCGAAATACAAGGTCAAAACCTATCAAAAATTCATTGAAATCTTGGCCACAAACAGATACCGACAGATACCATGCAAGAAGATATACAGAAACCGACAGATACCATGCAAGAAGATATACAGAACAAAATATTCGTATAGTGTTAACTAACCTTATGAACATTGACAAAAAACGTGGCCGAGCAGGCTGCCGCATTTGTGATGCGCATTTCGAGACGTGACAGATGAGATATTTAGCATATCCCGCTTCAACGAGCGGGATATCTTATATATAAAGCTGAATGTCTGTTTGTCCGTATGTCTGTATGTCTGTCTGTCTGTATGTGTGTACGTATGTTCCGAATAGAAAACTCCATTTCTGAACCGATCGGGACCAAACTTAGCACACATACACATCGGGCCCCGGCGGGTGTCATAGGCCACTTTTCGTCATCGATCGATATCGATTTTATCGATTTTTTGCAAAATTTGAGCTAGGGGGCTGGGAGTTGGCACAGGGGGGTAATCGAGCATGCTGCACCCCCGTGGGGGTGATCAGCATGCTCGATTACACCCCTCGGCCAAATTCCAGCCTCCTAGCTCAAATTTTGCAAAAAATTGATAAAATCGACATTGATCGATAACGAAAAGTGGACTGTGACACCCGCCGGGGCCCGAAGTGTATGTGTGCCAAGTTTGGTCCGGATCGGTTAAGAAATGGAATTTTCTATTCGGAACATACGGCGGAGCCGGGTAAGCCAGCTAGTGCTAAATAAAGATCGTCACATTATAGCCTTCCCTTCCCAGAGCCGGACATACATCACGCGATGCCATCGCCTCGCGATCCTCCCGAAAAGACAGCAATGACGAGTACCTTGCATGCCGATCATCTTGCATTGGGGTTGTGCTAGTTCCAAAGGACTAATCGCGACTATACTATCACAACCGAAATGCAAGGTGACCCGTATACAACGGGCTTGTTTCAATTGTCTTGTCGAGTGGATCGCAAAGCAATGAAGTCGCATTAGGTATATGTTGGAGGCTTGCACCATGCATGAAGATTTGTCATTACCTGAACAGGAAATTTTTCTCAGCCGAATTCAGCATGATCCCAAGCCCAACTTGGCGGTCATGTTCGTCATCGGTCTGTGAACCACATGAACTCAAACGTGAACGCGACTTTCAGCGTGCCAATGGAGCTGTAAAGGCAGAATAACAAGAGATTCCATTTCAAAACAAAGGAGTTACCAAAAAAATCTAGCATCTGAACATCAATTTTTAGTCTAAGGAACCTACATTGTTCGCAAAGATTTGTTTTGTGAGACATTTCTAAGCGACGGTCGCGTGAGAGACGAAACGCAGTAGGAGGCGAGAACAGTCGAGCTTCCTCAGTTGTTTCATCGTCAAGTTGTAAACTAGCGTTTCGAATCTGAACCAAATGGAGAGACCTTTTTATGAAAGAAAACTAAATTTTTTCACTCCCTTACTCGTTTAAATGCTTCAGGAGGAGCTGTTGATGAGATACAACCGTGCTTTTGGTGAAGTCCATTTATACTATCCATGGATCGCACGGCGATATAGTGTGATTCCAAATCCGATGATTCTAGCGAATCTGCTGCAACTCGCATATCCCTAAATGAAAAAGTAAGAAAAAAGCGGCTTCGAAAAACACACATGGTGATTTCGATCAAGGTTAGACTGTTGCATACAGAAACTCCACTCACTTTGAGCTCAATCGTGGTATTATAGATAAGCGACTGACAAGAAGCCGTTGATCATCGCTGAAAATCAGACCACTGTACACTCGACCTCTTTGATTTATAACCTAGCCACCATCTCAAAGCTTACGGAATGATGTGAATTTTGGATGAATCGTTGCCTACTGCTGTTGACATTGCTCCAAACAGCATTTGTGAGATTGTCGCTATATCTCGGCGCCGTTTGAGAAACTAAACATTTCAACAATTCATAATAGGATTTTATTTATAACAAAAAAAAACAATCGCTATTTCCCAGCGCTGTTCAAGCACGAAAATATTTCAGTAAATTCACAAAATAATTGTCCAACTATGACTGAAATGATATGAACCTGTTGAAGCTGTTGCATTATTTGTTATAACATCAACATGCTTATATATTGCGGAAAATCACCCCTACCTGGAACTTTTTGCAGGCCGATAACTGAGCATTTGATGGCAGAACTCTGTTTCCAACCGAAACAATTGAAGCAAGAAAAGAAGAAACAAGAGAAAATATGAAAAACGCACGGGTTGCGCAGCCAAGTCGGTGCTACGAAATATAAACGCCGATTAAAGGACTCAGCGATACGCCATTCGATTGGAGCGCGCTTTCCTCCTTAGGAAACGGGGCTGCTGAGGCTATTTTTGCCTCTAGCAATGGGGAGAGGAGGAGGTTTGAAACAAAATTTTCAGTATATACTAATCCTTAGGCGTAGAGTAGATTTGTGTAAAAATTTTGGAAAAATTATGTGAATTGAGAGTTTTGCCGACCTCAGGTGGGAATTAGATCGGCAAATGCCGACCTAATTTGGAAATTAGTTAAGCACGCTCTTCATTCACATAAGTTTTTCATAATATTTCATACTTTATTACTTAGTCCTATTGCGCATATACACACAGAATCCCGCGCGATTTCGTCGCCTATGCGTTGCAATTGAGCCATTTTTCCATTTTTTGGTAACAGGAAATTTTCGGAAAAAAGTTTGCCACAACCTTCAGTCACATAGTTTTTCAATGAAACTCACCAGTTAAGCCCTACAAGCCCGTGTGCATGTACTTACCAAGTTTCATACCATACCGTCATCTGTGCGCTGTAAACGAGCCATTTGAATTCACATCTTCATTTACCAATTTTGCAAAACTTTTGGAAAAAATGCTTATTACTCGTTCCGTTCACATAAGTTTTTCATAATTTTTCATACTGTGTTTCCACTAGCCTCTCTCCGTTCGCTTACAAAATTTGGTGCCATATCGTCACGCATACATTGAGAACTAGTCATGTATGCTGTGTTTCCACTAGCCTCTCTCCGTTCGTTTACAAAATTTGGTGCCATATCGTTACGCATACATTGAGAACTAGTCATGTATGCTGTAACAAATAGCATCGTTTAAACGACGTCGCGCGCGCGGCAGTTAGCGACGGCGCGACGTGACGCGCGCGAACTCTGCTGTGCCTCTATTGAGGCATGTTGAGATAACATGACATGCTGAGATACGCAGAGTGAGGCAACGGCTGTGGAAAATTGACCATTCAGAGTCAGCGCAACGCTATTCGCTGCTCTTTTCTTGCATAGTAGACATTCTGATAAAGTTGTAACGCTATGATATTCATTCTATGCAAGTCCAGATGAGAAGGGCTCAGCTTTGCCATCGTAACCATCAATTTTTTTCCGGGGCTCCGCCCCGCACCCCGAAAAACGATTTCCCCCTTGCTTTTTGGCCCCAAAACGATTTCCAGCTTGGCATTTGCCGACCTCGTGCCGGGCCCTGGCTAAAACTTGCGCGTGAAGAAATAGCCACACCAGTTATGCCGGCATTCTATGCGCGAAAGTGGCTGACAGTTGAAATTTCTCAGCTTGAAGTTTTTAAAAGGCATTGTTCAATGTTATTCTGTAACACAACTAACCACAAACAATGTGCATGTCTGCAAAAAATTCTAATTCTTTGCATTTGAGCGTGTATGAGACGAAAGAATTTGAAGGCTCAATTTTTGATTTTAATGGCATTGAGTTTTCAAGCAAACTCATTCCTCCTGGAAGGAGAGCTTGTGCAGGGAACTAGGCGGCAAGAGCTTTTAAAAGATATGTAAAGTTTCTCGAGAAAGTGGCTCTTCTCAACCAGCAAAGAGTTGTGAGAAGTCTGCATCGATTCTGTCACGACCTAATTTAAGTTATGCGCAGTATACCTCAACAACTCTTTTTTTGTTTTACTTAAATTGTGAAACATTGCAAACGCTTTACAATTCGTAAAAATTTGTGTAGTAAATGTATCACAATGGAAAATTACAACACAACTTCTGGATTTCCTTTGAGAATTCTTCTCAAATGCCCATCTCAGACAGTCGATGGGATACCTCCGGGGAGCAGTCCAAATACGGGACACCTTCGGAGGGCGCTCTTAACCATTGAGGGGCGGGGCGAGGAGCGGTCCATTCGCCCACACGCTAGTTAGCGGTAGCGTCTCCTTGCTAATGTTGATTGGTTTTGGCTATGGATCTTTCCTACAGCACTCGTTGGTTATGCCTTTTTCATCCTCATCCTTCGTTCCGTTACGCCTTTGTTACTCAGCTCTCACCTAGTATCTTTCCAGTGTCTTCCACGTCTTCCACTAGCTCACTCTTTGCAAACATCAACATCAACATGTTTACTGCTGTAGACCACTCTATTGAGTGGTCTACAGCAGTAAACACTTACCATACACCGCTCATTTCCATAGACCAAGATATGTAAATTGGTACTCCTTCGATAATGATCATGAATAATTCATTCAATAACAAGTTCGACACGTCTGGGGATATTCATTTATGGATCAAAACCAAGAGGAACTACCCTACATCAAGAAGATAGAATCCGGAAAGAAGAAACGTTGACGTGGAGACCATAACGGACGAAACAAAAGGAATTCAAGAAAAGGACAACCCTGACAATTAAACGGACTCAGATAAGCTGTTATATTCAAAAATTAGTCAAAAATTAATAAAATTATGAACAATTTATAATTATCAACAATTTATAATTATGAAAATTATTTATTACTATCAATATTATTATTATTATCATCACGATTTTTAACACTCTTTTATTGTGTGCGGTTGCACTCTCGAATCTTTTGACAAGCAAGGCCCTTTAGACCATACCAAGGTAAGTGCTCCTTGACTTAATATGTCTTGTGAGATACCAAATTACTGGTTTTGTTGTGGGGTTACTAGGTAGCTTCAAATTTTGCAAACAAATTCAGGTATGGGATTAGGTACATACACAGACATGCTTATGCACATACGCCGTTGACGATGCCTACCTGATGTTGCGGTATGTGTTTTTGCTACTCCTTAAAGTTCCCTAAGTTCACCAACCTCAGCATCTCTACTTGGCACAATATGCTTTCGAACGGACTGCACATGCCGAGACGCGTTCTTGTAAACTATTTCTTTACTTGCACGCACTATTTTAGACGACTACTTCGCTTAGCCGCCAACATCTAGCCTCAAAACAGTGGTGCCTAACCAGGTTACCCTTTAGCAGAATCTTTGCGTTTTTTTATTTGGATTTTTTAGGAGTGATTAGCTTTTTCATATCCGATGTGTAAAACCTCGATATCCGGAGCGGGACAAGGCCGCAGCAGTATACTAGTCATTCGAATTTGCTCACTCTTTGAAGCTTGAAAAGCTCTGGAGGTGTCTCCTCGCTTTCCACAATTCGAGTTCCAGTAACTTACATTAGATGCTTTGATATGTCAGTAATGAGAAACAGGAACGAGCGAGGCCTTGGTAAGGGTTGGAAATGTCTCGGTTTGAACATCAAAGCTTGCTATGTCACATAGGCCTTTAGCCGAGTAAAGCACTCGTTTTGCGCTTCGGATCGATAATGCGGTAGGCCCTGGCCAGGCTTCGCTCAAAAGCGCCCAAAAGCTCCCAAACTTCTCTAACCTCTCCTTACTCTCCCTCTCTCTCCTCACAACAGAACAGATTTGGTAGTCGTTGCAACTTTCAATTACAGTAATCCGCCTCCATTCCCAGGGTATTCGCGGCAGGACCATGTGTGTTTCAGTCGCGTCACCTCACATAAACGCTGCTTTGATACTAACCCACCACTTTCTATTAACTTAAACGTGCTGAATAGGACCTTCGCGTCCGTTGCGAATTACAGAAGTCTGATATAAGCCAGTACAATGTTGACAAATGCGTTTAATCTTGTTCTAAAGCTATTTACAAATTTATCCCTAGACTAAATGTTTCCTGCAAGGTCTTTTTCCAACGAAGCCCTTGCTTGCTCAGATAGAAGCCAGTGACCTTCATCGATAACTTTGAGGTGTTCGGTAATTTTATGTTCGATGTTTTGTTCATAGAGTAGATGTGAAAGACAGTATAGTGGGTTTTTGGTAACTTGCTTTTACTAATTTGCTCAAAAAACTGATTGTGTACTAGATTTGCAAAACTGTTGAAATCTGCAACTTTATCAGTTTGACTCCATTCTGGTTGTGACCGTCATGGAAATCAGAACGGGCTTGTTTTGTTCAGATAATTTAGTGAGTCGTGTAGAGCTATGTGAAAGTTAGAGGTGAGGGAGCAGCTTTGGGTATCAGCGTTGTGTGGTTTGTTCCACTAGTTGCAGAAACTATCACTACGTCATGATTCGCAGTTTCAAATCCGTGGTCCTAGCCCTGGCCGAGAAAGATGACAATGTGAAGAGCGACCATCAAATGCGTTGTGCCTCATAAACCGCTTGGTTGAGAAAGACATGACTACAGTTAGATACGAGTAAGCTAATTTCTAATGGGCGAGCGCTTGCAATTCACAATCAGCTCTGCACGGCTCCACAACAGGACTGAGAACGCTGAGCCGTTCGGCATGCTACCTACCGTTCTGCACGATGTACCGACAAAGAGAGGGTTACGATTTCCGATAGCGCGATCAGGCAGCCCTGTTCTCTATCAATGAATTAGAGCCATAAGAGTTCAGAATTGAACAAGCCCATGAATGGCTAACCAGCTACCACGATTTGTAGCTGACTTTATGGTTGTTAATGTGAAAACTGACTGAATTCTACCAAACAGTTGGTAACAGGTTGTCAGAAATGCAATCATTCTTACTCTCGACTCTCTTACATATTCAAGCAACATCTCAGCTTAATAAGTTCTTTTAAGATTCTTGAACATGAAACTCACAGTTTTAATGAAAGTCACATGTAAATCAAGAAAAATACCAAAACGCTACTTTTGACCACGTTAGATGGGAACTGAAAGATTCGAAATTGTTATACCAACATAGTCAATCTTCTATGACGTGCAAAAAGCAAGAATTCGAAGAGAAGGAGCCACTTAGAGGGATTAGGTATCCCGTCAAGTTAGCCATACAGCCACGTAAAATAAACGTAAAATAAATAAACGCTACTTTTGACCACGTAAAATCCAACCACTGAGATAGAACCCACCACCAATGCATTACTCCTGGCAGCCTACTCTATAAAGCATAGGCACGAATAGCCTTGACAGCGCATTTCCAATTGGCTGAAACACAGACGGTCCTCGCACGAATACCCTGTAAATGGCGCGCGGGTACTGCAGTTGAAAGTTGCAAAGACTCCCAAATCTGTTCTGTCTCCTCACACGAAAAAGTGAAACACCAGAGAAATTTGGGCGCTTTCGACCGCCTTTGAGCGAAGTGTGGCCGGGGTCTTAGTGTTATGTTTATTGAACTAGCGACCCTATGGGCCGCTAATAGTTTGGCAGGGGCAAGCAATTTATTAGCCGCCTAGCTGTGACCACGAATCTCTCTACATTTTATACCTTTTCTTAGAGCTACATGTGAAAACCCAGTTTATGAGGGAGTGTCGCAACGCCGAGATTCTACAAATCATTCAATAATTCTCGAAAGTCCTATCACAACCGTACGAGGATTTGAGAACAAAAAGTTGATAGATTTTTTTAATATTACGCCCTCCCATGGAAACTTCTCCACAGATTCACTCCTAAAATAAGATTTCCCCTCACCATGCCTTTTATAAGGTGACTTTTAATGAGCCCTTCAGCTGACATTATATGAAATTATGACGAAAATCGAATCATGAAAACAAGGTCTTTTTTTCAGATGAAAACCCATGAAAGACCATGATCATGACATTTTCTAGCGCTATCTTATCATAACATGATCTTGCGAATTCTGAACTTCTGACTCCCATCTATAAATCATCTTGGCCAAATTTTCCTGACAATCTCCATTTAAAGTCACCTCGAAAGCAGTCAACCTCAAAACGGATGTATCGTACAAAATACTCACTCAAAAAATACCTTAGTTCTCAGAAAATTTGACCAAAATAAATTCTTTGGTTTTCTCATGTCCTCAGCCATTGTGGAGCGTTCTATACAGATCTTTTCTGTATAGAACGCTCCACAAACCTCCTATAGAGCGATATACATGGGATCCTACAGAAGAAAGAGACTGCCCTATAAGCCGCCCACAGACCGACATTTATGACAATTTATAAGAAGGAAAAAATGTGATTTGCTTACCAGCCAATATTCGAAAAAACAACTCTATAAGTCTCCTACCCAGCATTTTGAAAAGGAAAACTCCCCTAAGGCCGTCTACAGAATGTTATTTTGGCTGTACCCTTCGAGACTTACAAACACTCCCTATAAACCAATATTTCAAAACCAAAATTACGTCTATAACCGTGGACTGCTTTAGACGTTACTTTAAGAAAAAACTACCCTTTGGGCCCCTGCAGAACTATAATCAATTATCAAAAGAATCATCTACCCTATAGGCCACTTACAGACCATTATATTGGGGAAGTGCTGTCCTGTGGGCTGCTTACAAATTAACAAACTTTCAAAAATACATTTCAAAGAACTGCCCTGTGAGCTTCTATTATACTGAAAAAAAATGCCCTATGGGCCGCTTACGGACCGCTCTTCGAGACTTCGAAAAAAGGGTGCCTGTGCACTGCACACAGACCGATCTTTCAAAAAAGCACTGCCCTACAAACTCTCAAATCCGCAAAAAATGTTCTAAGAACCAGTTAGAAACCAACTTTTCAAGGAAAAACCGCCCTACCGGTCCTCATAAACCAATATTTTGAAAAAACTAAAGACCGATGTTTATAGAAAAAGATTGCCTTGTAAGAAACTGATGTTTTCAGAGGGCTGCCAGCCCCTTCAAACCCATATTCAAGAAAGAATCGCCCTATGGGCCGCCTACAGACAGCGACCGTTAATTACAATTTGAATGCCCTATGGACCACTCGCAGACCGGTGTCTTGAAAAATATCTGCTATGAGGGGCACTGTCCTACAAATCCCTACAAACGTGTTCTACGAGCCGCTTGCGGGGAGATCTGCTCTTTGGAACGCCAACGCACCGTTTTTGAGAAAAAATATAGAGGCCTACCAGCTCCTTAAAGACCTATAGTAACAAACCAATATTTCGAGAAACAAAACGAAAGAACTGTCCTCATTGGTCTTTTATTGAACCAGAGATGGAATACTCCAACAGAAAAATGAGAAGTAAGCAGATTATTGCAGCATGTACATGAACGTGAGGCCATACAGCATGTCGACAGCTAGACAGGCATGGGGCTCCAATACTAAAAACTCAAAACAAGGTTCGAATTCAATCATATGCGCAGGGTTCAATCTTGCGAAAGAGAGGGGGGGGGGGTACTGTTAGCAACCTTACGAGAGTGTCGGCACCTCCCGATACTATAGCCTTTTTGTACTTAGTAGTCACACCCTTTTCGAAAACATTCCCCGAAGAGGGACGATGCTCACCCTCTACGAAAACACGCTAGCCTTATTGGTAAATCTGTCCCCTCCGCACCCTCCGCAATCACTCGCCTCAGTCCGTAACTTGTCAACATGTAAGTGCAAAACCTTGCCATTCTTTATTATAGAATGATTGCTGCTGTAGCACTACTGTACACTACTGTAAAGTAGTGTATTGCACTACTGTACTGCTGCACTACTGTACTGCTCACTACTACTGTACACTTACGTAGCGCTTTGATCTTGTGCATCTAATTCATGAGAGAACAACCTTACCTGCGCCGCGTTTATAAGGCATACGGGAGTTCTCGTTAGATTTCTTCTATAATATGTTTCGCTTATGTTAAATCAATTCTGGTCTTAGATTAGTTCAATTTTTTCGTGATACCCTTTGCTATCTCTTCTTCGTCGCACCATCACTGCAGTCGTCTCCACTGCAGTAGTCGTTTTCACGTTAACAGCTCCCCGAATTGTGTTTTTCTTCACAAAGATAGGCGCCAGACTAGCCGATCGTCTTGCTTCAGCAAGATGCGGCGCAGTCACTGTCATTTGGTGTCACGCTGAACGCAAACCAATTCGGCGCGCGATCTCGCTACAACAAAATTTTTTCAATTGTAACGCCTTTTTATTATTCTCTCAAACTGCGGAGCTTCTTCACCATCTCTCCAAAACTGCAGTTGTTGCGAGAAGAAGTTAAATGCTCAAAATAGCATATCGTTTTGTTATATTGCTATTGTTATCTTATGTATTTAGCTTTTTCTGTTGTTGCGGACATCGCGGACGCCACCTCGATTTCCGTCCAACATGACGCCGTATAACATCAGCTTACTAGTTACGCCGCATTCTGCTGAAACATGCAATCGGTTAGGGACCGGCCATACTATTCCTGTGATTCCTGCTGTTTCGCAACAATGTATGTTGCGGGAAAATAATGTACTAATACTGAAGTTCGCAAAGTGCTCCGTAGTGCGGCACAGAATTCGAGGAATCACAGGAGTTGCAGGAATTACAGGATTCGCAGCAATCACCTTCTGGAATAGTATGGCCGGTTTCTTAGTCTGGCGCCTACCAAATACATCGCCGTTCGTGAAGTGCGCTTCAAATACTGTAAAGTAAGTGTGTCGACGTTAAGTTGTCGACATCTATGCCTCGATGGTTGTTATGAGCTGATGGTGTGATATCATACCTTCGATAGTCTAGAGACAGGGCGTCAAAAGTGAAGGTTGTTTGAACATCTGACGTCATAAATAGTGAAGGTTGTTTAAAGATGATCAGAGAAGAGAAAATGACATAAAACAGATATAAAAGCAAAAGAAACTGCTGAAAACCGGATAAAAACGCTGCAATGAGGCTTGAAATTTTTCATTTGGCGGCTTTTCAAAGTGCAAGTTTTCGCTTCAGAACAAGCAATTCGCAACACGGGGTTTTGATTTTTGATGCGTCCTTTGAATTTTTACCCCCGCATTGACGTTCCTGTTTCCTGGGACGTTGTCTGGATTGTGGCGATTATTGTTCTGAGCAACAATCGCCCAAGCTGGAAAAAAATCGATGAGAAAGCACTGAAATTGAGCAAGTTAAGGAAAAACGCACTTTTTACGATTTTTCGCAAAAAATTCCACCATAATCCAAGAGATGAGGGCTGGGTGGTTGTCTGCAGTATGAACAGAAGCAAGATCTATAGATTGCATGAAAAGCCGCATAAAAAGACTTAAACTAGAAGGAAAACAAGAGATTTTCGAAAACAAGGTTTTTGCCGGATTTCTCGATCAAATCAAAAAATGTGGTTTTGGGACGTTGTCAGGGTGAAAACAGAGATCAAGAGCTTCAAAATGATATATAGCTTGCTAAAATTGGGTTCGAAACAGCGAAGAAAAGGGTACCAGAGCCAAATGCCCCGCGCCCTGCGTTTGGGGTAGCGAGGTAGCGCGCAGCGCGCGAAGACGCAGGCGAGCAGCGGAGACAGACCAGAGCCGACGGGGCATTTGGCTCTGGTCGTAGATCTCCGCGGGGTCTCAACGAAACCCCGCGACATTATATATCATTCTGATAGCCATGACACGACGAGGAGAACCGACGTCCCAAGCTTCAAAATCACTCATTAACGAGATAGACCAGCGTTTTCGTCTGCAACCCTCTGCGCAAGATTTAAGCGCAGTTCCTCGTTCTTATTTAACTTCAATAGCTTTCTCAAACTTCTGAGACTCGATTTTGTTCAAATGAAAGGTAAATTAAGAAATTTTGTTCTGAATTCTGGCGAAAATCCCACAGAAACCTTTTTTTAAGGTAAAAAAGGCTATGAAAACGCAAATTCTCGATTTCGCTGAGATAAGCTAAAGATTTTATTCCCTATATTTGCTTCATATTCGTTCCGATATAATCAGGATAATAACATCCGGGGCGAAGCAATGACTTATGTTATTTTCCAGGTGAAGGTTGTGTCCCCTCATACCCCTCAAAGTGAAGGTTACCAGAGTACGTGGCTCTATGTATCGAGGGTATGTGTGATAGCTTTTGCACAAGCGGCGTCGCATATGCAAAAGCTATCGTCGCATGCCCATCACACGTCTTGTTCCGTTGCTGTTACGTATGATGCATATCGTCTCTCATTCATCGTCTTGTCAATATTTGTGCCCGTTCAGGATCCCATCGTTGCTTCTTTTGTCCTTCCACAGCGATATACGATCGATTGTTGTGATCCGATCATGATTATCTCAACGTTCGCTTACCCGCTCCTTGGCAATGCCAGCGGCATCATTAAGGTGAGCTTGTATCCTTTCTCGACTTGGTCCTACATATCTGCTTTCCAGATCACTCGCATGCAGAGCACCATCGCGCACACTATCAAGGTGGCCGATAATATCGTGAAAATTCGTGCGAAAGCACTTCTTGGTGGTGGCGAAAAAACAATTGAGAATCAGCATAAGCGAGTACGATCAGTTTAGATATCTGAGGTCGCGCGGACATCCTTAGCAGTTTTTAGGGAAAGTTGACGGCTCATGAGCGTATTGAATTACTCATGGATAAGGGCTCGTTTCGCGAATAGAATATGCTTGCCGAACACACTTGTACCGATTTCAACATACAGAAACAGAAAATAAGTACACTTTCCATGACAAGGTGGATCAGCAGCGTGACAGTTCACGCCATTCAAAAGCATCTGAACAGAATGCTGACAATGAGTCTAATTGTTATCCTTGTAAATCTTAGAGAGCGAATGCTTTTGAATCAAATTCCAAGTCCGACCGTCAATGAATCTTGGCATGTCTTGATAAATCGTAGTAGTGTTGTTTCAGCTAAGGCCAAGATTGATACACAGCTTTATTAGGCTACGTTTCGGCGTCTCCGCCTTTCTTCAGAGCCTGTAAGGACGATGATATTTGTAATCTATCCTCTCAAATGCTCTATCTCCACTACATCGGTACAACCCAATAGCCGACAGAGCCAGAAACAAACGAGAGACGCGGAACAGTTAGCGCTTACCTTATAGCCTTGCAGTCAAGAGTAGGCGACCACCCACGGTGAAGCGCCGCTGCTATGACTTAGATATATTCAAATCATTCCCCGCCTTGACCCGACCCCGACCCAGTAGGTCAAAACCCACAAAGGGTCTGAAACGGTGCCAACTCGTTTGTAACGGCAACGCATTCTTCCTTCCTATTAATTTTTGGATTTCGCGATGCAATCCAAAAGGCCTCAAGAGTTTTGCGGGCTATTGTTTGGGGTTTGTGCGATAGGATTGTGACAGCCGTACTGAACGTAGCGTTTTCATGACACAGCCTGCCGTGAGCGCCTAGAGGTGTTGATGATCTGCCCTTCGCAAGCCCGTCTAAGTGCTCCTTGATCCGGACGCACACCGGTCGCCCTGTTTCGCCCACGTATTCCTCACCACACGACTGACATGTGATGAGATAGACCACCCCCGTCTTCATGCAATCACCTGGTCTACCGTACGGACATACCACGCAATCGGGAGTCGTACAAATGTTGTCGTAAGCACGGTTGCGTATGAGCTGCTTCTTGAGGTTAGAGGGAGGGAGGAATGTCTATGACTCTAACATATTCCTGAAGGCCTGATTGATACAGACATGCCCTAACCACCTTGCTGAGGCCGTCCGCAACGAAAGGGGTGGAGGACTATATGTCGCCGAAAAAGGGCGGTCTCCGCGGTCATTTGCGACAAATACGCACCCTTGTACACGCGCGGACATGCGTTCCTGCAGGAAATCCACGCGGGACTCTTCCACATTCGGCGACATATAGTCCTCCACCCCAACGAAGGGTATGCAAAAGGGAGTTTTGGTTTTGTCTTGTGGACGTGCGCTACTATATGGCATGCCGCCATAAGAACTCTTGCAGCAGGATGCCCATTGGAAACCGCAATAGATCTGGCTAGTTCTAGAGATGTTGTTCGCTCCTGTATGCCGGAAAAACTTTTCTAGGTCCTATACATATTACTAATGACGAAACGCTTCATGTTACGCGGGTGTGCTGAACTAAGGTATTAAGATATTTTTACTAGTAGGCTTACGGAACCACTTAGTACGCCATATACCACTGGACAGATACACCTGAACGTTGAGAAAAGCTAACCAGCTATCGTTAGGCTTTTCGCGAGTGAATCTAATTTTGGGCGATTGCGCATTGAGAATGTCAAAACATGTGTCAACTTCTTGTTGTTCAATCGTCAATATAGCGGCAGTATAGAAGGGGCTTACGCAAAAGAATAGGACGTTCTACCTTAGACATGAAGGCTATAGCGACCGTAGGTGCCAACCTTTGCCCCATGGCTAAACCCCTAACTTGCTTGTAATACTGCCCAGACCAGCGGAATGTGAAACACTTGAGACACTCATCTAACAACGTCATAACTTGCCTAATGCTAAAACCGTACAGATTGAGCGAGCTCTGATGCTCACATAGAGGCTCATATACTGCTGCATAGCATCAGCGTTGGAGACGTTGGTGTAGAGTGAGGTGACGTCGAAGGATTCCATAAAACACTCGTCCTCTAATCGCGCACTGCGTAAGCGATCAAGGAAGGTGTTGGTGTTGGGAAGATGAGCGGGCACGTGTTTTAACAGCTGCGAAAGAATTACGTTCAGCAACCGTAATATCCTGTCATTAGGCCCTCCTACGCTGCTTATAATGGGTCTAACTTTATCATCCGATAGATCTGTAGACTGAAGAGAAGCAGCGGAAATTTTGTGCGTTTTTACCAGAACATAAAGGACCGGGCAACTAAAAAGCTCGCATTTCAACGCGATATTAAAGTTTTATATAAACCGGTAGCATTTGCAGTTTCAACCCATACTTTGATTAAGCGCCTATGCTGCTTAGAAAATTCCTTTTCCGGCGATGGTTGGTATAGCGTGTCGTCCCCAAGGTGATGTGTCGCTAAAGCCACGTCTAATTCACGTGACATGACCACAAACTCCCCTCCCTTGTCGCTGATAGAGATTTTGATCTCGCCTTTAGCGCACCGGTCTCGCAGATCACGTAAAACTCTGATTTAAGTGGGCGTCAAATTGCGAGGCAGGGATTTTTGCGAGTATTGCGTGATTTTGGCGAAAAGCGAGGTTGCGAATAGGCGGAATTTGGTGTCGATGACCGGGTTAGGCTCTTGTGGTTTGTATGTTAACGAAGGGAATGGAGCAGTGGGTAAACTAGCGTCCGCAACAGGGCCAAGCGTGCTGATGCGATCCGGGACCCTCATTTACGACCCTCCCCCCCTTGAAGGTACCCATCCGTACGACCTCCCCCCTTCCCCCTCCTACCCCCCCCCCCTCCCCTCCACCCTCACCCACAAAAATAGTAATTATTTTGTTTGATGAAGCTTCTTTATTGTACTTGCCGTATGTGCACAATGATAGTCAATACGCAACGTGCTTGTAATTTGCATAATGGGCTTATCTGGCATATTAACGAGTACCACGTTATCGCTAACATCAGCTAACTTCGATTACGACCCCCTTCCCTATGACTCCTTGCTAGACCTCCAGGCAGGGTCAAGCGTGTTGATGCGATCCGGGACCCTCACTTACGACCCCCCCCCCCCTGAAGGTACCCATCCGTACGACCCCCCGCCCCATCTACCCCCTTACCTCCCCTGCCCACATTCCTCGCGGTAACCTGCATAAACGAATGTCAATCTCAAAAAACACCTGCGAGAGAACTTCAGTGAGGTTTCGGAAGCAGAATTTTTAGGCCAATGGGTGCGTCCATCATCTGTAGCACACATACACACCTTTAATAATGTTTGAGATGCTACAAGTTTTTTTTTTGAATTTTCAGGCATACTTCAGGCCAGCAAATTCGATTCCCGTAGGCGACACAAATTTTTGCACGGAGGAAAAATGACATTCGTGAACTACAAAAGATGTTTTCGACTAAGAAGCTTACCTCCTACCTCTTCCACAGTTTTTCCCGCGAAAAAAACCGCTTGAGCGCCGTCCAGAACGACGTCAAAAACGTGCATGAGCACGGTAGTTTGAAAATTGGTAACTAAGGCCAGGAAAAGACTGAGAGGCTGCAAAGCACAGGTTCTGTAGTATAGTGCCCAGACTATCCAAAGAAAAAGTTTTAGCTCTTGAGGAGCAGTAAGAACGAAAAAATTTAGATGCGACTCTCGCAAATTTAGATGCGATCCTAAAAAGCAAAAACTGGGATTTTTGAGCTTGAAAGTTTGTAACTTACCAGAGAAGTTATGAAACGGCCTGCAATTTTTATGAGGAAAAGTAGGAGGATGGCCTCATATTGCGGCAGAATTGCAGCCAACAAGCTTCAATAGCTCCGAAGAAATTTAAATGCGACCCAGATATACCTTTCCTGACTTTTTGCTACCATACATAAAACCATAAGAAAATCTACAGTTCACAAAATAACACCAAATTCTGCACTGATATAGCGGAGCATCTCAAAAGTACAGATAAATCATATGAGCTCGTGAAAAACATTACAAAAAGATTTAGAATTTTATGATGGTCACAGCTGGTAAAGACATTCGCTTTTGTCGAGTGTGTGAGACTTCAGGAAGGCTACAGAAGCAAGATTTCTAGGGCAATCGGTACATTTAGCATTTTTATCAAATAATACATCCTTAAAAAGTTTTGAGCTCTTGTAGATGTTTTTTTTGAGAATTTTTACAGACTTTTTATCTTTTTTATTCTGATTTTCACTTTTCTATAGATTTATTGTAAAGAACATAACTAATTGTCTGCCTTTTGATTCCCTTTGAAGCCTAGGGTATTTTAGCCTGACTACCTCCTCTTACGACCCCCCCCCCCACCTTAGATACCCTCTTACGACCCCCCGTTGCGACAGTCGCATCACAAGCTTGACCCTGGTCCGCAATTGTTATAAGTTTGGCCGACTCAGTTCTTCGCTTTCTTTTCTGGCTCTCTGTCTCAGGCGGTCATGAACCAATTGCAGGCTGCCAACAAACTTACGCGCTACCCTGGGACTTATTGATTGCGTAGGAGCAAAACTAGGCCCCATATCCAAGACCAACAGTTCGTCTGCGGAAAGAGATACATTGCAGTCAGAACAGTCACACTAGGGGAGCAAAGCGCGCTTTGCAAAACTTGAGAGGTGGTACTAGAACTTGGATGATTTTGGCTAAGACTGCATGCACTAACCGATGACTGCAATCTCTGTTGTTTCTGCTCTTTCAGTCTACTGAATTTCTGACGTAGTTTCAACTTAGCATTAGAACGAATAGAATAGAGTTGCAAATATCTATCGACCTACCTACAATGCTCCTAGAAGGCGGAGACGCTTTTGCTTCGAGACAACATACTTTTCAAAGAGTTGCTTCTGCGTCATAGTCGTAGAGTGTTTGCAGGTGATTGTTCTGAACAAACACTAGATATTGTGAGTGTGGGCATTCATTCTTGAAGACTGAGCTTGATGAAAAGGCCCAAAAACATTAATTCCGTCGAACGTTGCAGCTTTGACTGAAAGGTCGCGAATCTATGAGTTGAGAAGTTAGGTGTACAACGTCAGAGGCCGCTAAAAGACAGTAAGATCTACAGCGATATGTTCGTCGGTCAGCACCACAAATCACAAGCAAGCCTTTTGCAGTGCCCTGGAGATTCTGTCATTACTGGACGCGCTCATATAAATGGTCGTAAC